TTGAAGAAAACCGAACAAACTTATTATCTTTCTTGTCAACCCTATCTTTCCATTGATGCTGGTAATCCATCAAATCATTCAATTTTGTTAATCAATCGATAAAGGAAAATAAAGCATAATAGATACATAATGATTAAAGAAGGATTAAGAAGAATTAACCTGCAATCATATGGTCTCAGAGTGTTTGTATGGCATTTTAAGAAACAGTTGATGGGCACAGAAGAGGTAGTTAGCAAGCTGAACCATCCGAATATGGAAAAATGTCCGTAGGTTCATTTTCAGCCTAGCCTGCATTTTTTTTAGCGAGTACAGACCGAAAAACTCAATATCAAGCTGCTATAACTAACAAAATCATCACAAAATTGTACAATGAACGAAATGAGAATAATCAGCTTCTTCAGGTCTCTGCTTATCTAAAGATCCAAGTATGAAGGATCATCTGCAAATTTGTAACACTCAGCAAAAGAGTACTAGCTATAAAGCTCATTCATTTGATAGAGACATTCAAAATTACTAACAAGAACAAATGCATAATTCAGTTGATAATCCATATGCAAACCACGATCTATCTTATGAAAGCAGAACACATGACGTTCATCTTTTTTACTTCACACCATAACACACACACCAGCAAGCCTCACAGAAATTAAACAGAGATAATACAAGTTCAAATGTGGATTTTAGGGGAAAAAAGGGGTTCAGTTTTAGGAAGGGAATTGATTTTGAGCCGGACAGTGTGACAACTTGACAGCATTAAAATCCAGCTTGTGAATGCACAATTCAACCTGCAAGATATCATAACATAGTTTCATATAAGAAGATATTACTTCATGCAGGATGGCAAAAAGGTAGAAATGACATAGAGAAGCACAAGATCCACTCACCTTTTGACTTTAGTTTAGGACGTGAGGGAAAGTCTCTTGTATATACATCTTTAGAGACACAGATGTAATCCAGTTTGCATAAGTTCAGTCTTCATTAGAGCCATCATACTCTGTAATCGTAAGGAATAACAAACTCAAGGTGAAAGCAAGAACCGTAGGCAGGATAAATGTTTATGACTAAATATATATATATATATATATAATGAAGTTACCACTAGTTTCCATCAATGTTTATGTGCATTAACAAGACAATAAAGGTGTGGTAAAGAAACAAAAAACTGAAGGAATTCTTTGAATCAATATGCATACCATTTTCAACTGTTGTAGAGTGGTGTTGAGGTCCCCTTCCCAGCGCCCTTCATCATCTTCTTCTGTCAATTTTACTTTTTGCCTGCATTTTGTTCTCTGTTTCTCCCATGCACACATGTAAGCATTTACTGTGGTGTTTAGCACTGGAGTATATTTATTTTGTGGTGTGATGCCTTAAATGATTGTTAGTTCAGATGAATTGGAATAATCATCTTTTTGTGCTCCATCCATGTTCAAACTTCTAATTTATTCACTGACAAATGTATAAACTGGACATGCTAAATGGTGTTCAATAATGTTCTTATCTAGCATACATGTATCTGTATCATTGGGTATTATCCACTCTTAATTCAATTTGCAGGCCAGATTTTGCTTTCCATTCAGTTATGCTCATTTTAGTTGTGCAAAATTGACCAATGTCTTTCCTTGAATGCTTGTCATTATAAATGGAATGAAGTTTGCTCCCAGTTTTTAATTTAATAATTATGCCATTGGTTCTAGAGCACCTGTTTTAGTATCTACATGTCACATGTTATCTTCCCAGTGCATTCTTAAGTCTCTCGTGCTATATTAGTAAGTTATACATGCTCTTTGGCATTGAATTTTCATTGTATAAAGTTATTTTGGAGTGGAGACTGGCATTTCTATGATTTTGGTTGAAAAGTGATAGTTGGCCTCTTTTGTCCCACATTTGCTTGGTGATAATATATTGATTCATGCATGAAGAGAGTTTTAAGGTTAGGTTTAAGCAAGTATTTACT